TTTAATTGAAAACGTGGTTATAAAAAGTGCAGTATCATCTCAAACAAATCGCACTGAATTTCCGTCTATCGTTAATTGTGTCTAACATTACAGACACAACCTTAAGTTGTCTAAAACGAACTAAGCATGAATCGCCAAACTTGAATGAAAGGTAATCAACTGATATCTTTCAGGTCACAAACAGTTGAGATGATTTGATTGTCTAGTGGTAACCATGGTAACAACAAGCATCAACCTACGACCTACTAAGAGATATTCACACCATTGATGACCTAGACACAATACACGATACACATAATATTAATTATTTCCAGTTAAATGAAATAGCAGTAGTTGATGATAATTATGAAAGTCCCAGAAATCTTTAATCCACAATGTCAATTGTAGAATGAACACAACAAGAATAATTGGAATGGAAAACGTTCGCTTTGTTCAATAAACAGCTCGCTAACATTTTGGGTTAAATTTCGGAAGAGTACCTACGCAAGAATCAGCGACGTCATAAAAACATTACCTTTAATCGGGATCATTTTCACACGAGATGTAGGCGTATAATTTACACAATCGGCTAACATCAAATTAACATTAATAACTGCCCAGGGATGCACATGAACGTGTCTTGGCTTTAGGATCAGGGTCGGTAGGATTTACAGCAAACACCAAATTGGAGAAAATGTTCGCACACGAGATGTAGCCGAAGTTAACGTGTCAATATTGCTAGGGTCGATCGGGTAGTGTTTACGCAAGCGGCAAACATTAAATAGGCGTTAATGTCTGCCTCGGGATGTACACGGACGTGTCTTGGGTTTAGGGTAACGGGTCGTTAGGATTTACAGCAAACATCAATTTTGGAGAATGTGTTCGCCCACAAGATGTAACTGAACGTGTCTTGGAATTATGGTTAGAGTTCAGTCGGGTAGTGTTTACGCAAACGGCAAAAAACAAATTGGTGATATTGTCCGCACTGGTGAATGAATGATCCCTTAGTTGCAGTAAACAAATGAGTGCATCTTTCCCTCTCAGTGGATTTATCTGTCTGTTCGTTTTTCACAAATACTGTTATGTCATAAAGGTACGCAATGCAACAGACCATTTAATGGTGTGAGGACCTTCATGGTTCAGTGGAACTATTCACTAAATTACAATCAGTGGACAAAGGACGCTGCCCTAGAAACTGAGAGAGATCACAAGTTCAAATCCTGTCACCTGGTCACTGCTAAAGAAGATGTACAGGCCAACATTTCATTGGATCAACAAGTCTACACTTCAATATGTACCACCCCCATTGAAGCATGGTAAACAACTACAAGTCTGATTGACAAGGCCACCAGACACGAGAATAATTGCTGCTCTCCAAATGTGTTTCTAATTTAGTATTGGCCCACTAGCGATTGTTAATTGTCCGTTTCTAACTCTTGCTAAAAAAATATATATCGCATCGTTTAGAATGTGTTTGTCGAAACATTATTAAATATATATGAACACATCATGAATAAATTATCAAAATTTAAAGAAAAAATGCTTAAAGTTAATGTACGTCTTTTAGAATTTTGCCAAATTAGTACAACGTCCAACCTGATAAAAGCGTACATAACTCTACTATCAGTAAAGGCCCTTACCCTAGTTAACTAATTAAATGCGACTCCTGATTTATAATCGTTTCACACGAGCATCACACTGATACATACAATCTTTGCCCTCCATAGCACAGCACGCAAAAGTAGAGTTTTATAATTAGCCAAACGAGAAACGGCCATCAAAAGTCCCGCGTGTGCATGTAAATAACGGGACTGGTGTCTACTGTTCTACACTTTATAACAAATAACAAAAGTTAAAACCTGGTTCAAATTCTTTACAACAGCGGCGAATCCATCACACGGTAGCGATGAAGAGTAGATCATTTAGAACTTGCCTCCCACACGTACGGCGGTTTCACAAACTTACTCGTCCACAAATGTTTCTGCAGTTCGTTTGACTCGAAACACTGCGATATCACGAGCTGCCTCCGCTCAACAGGGTATCTAATCCTGTCATCTCAGTTACTTGAACTCATCACGTGATGGGCACTTTCAAACGGCCTCACTCAGGAGAAAATTAAGTTTGATATGTCCACTGTTACTTTTATACAACTCTATTTAACGTGCTAATGTTGCATCAAATTAAAAATATAATTTAAAAAAAAAAGAAGCTTGCGACCTTTTGCATCGATCATTATAAAGGGTCAGGCAATTGATCAATGAAAACGTGCTTTCACGTATCAGGTC